AATGTGTAACCTCCCCCCACATCCAAGTGCAGATTGCACTCGCATTAATTGTGCCAATTGCGATGCCCTAGATTCCTCCAACAAAAAGAAATCTTAAAAATCAAAAGGCAACGAAAGTGTACTATTAAGCAAGCTAAAGAAATTTACTCTTCACAACTACCTAAACAGTCTTCGCCTTCCTCCTTCGCTGGCATTACTGCTAGCAAAGACAACATTCCATCCTCATCTAAAAACATCCCCAAACAAACAACTTCATCCCCTCCTTCACAAAAAAATCTTTCAAAATACAACAACATTGAACCAATTTCAGCAAATTGCAACTCTCTCCTCTCCCCTTCTATTCAAACTTTCGTCAACTCTCTCGCAACTGCCAAAACATCAATTGCAAGCGGCCCAATGCCCATAGATTACACAGCTCCTCCTGACCCTTCTCCTAATGTTTCGCCTATCTCAAACCTCACCCAACAGCTCATTCAAAAAAACGACTACTTTGTTATCCCTCCATCAAATTCTTTCGATCAGTCTTCAGACATACCAACCATCAATTCTTCGAATCTTCCTAATAATTAATTTACATAAACATCATTATATCACATTTGTATCTATGAGATGATATCTCTAATACAATGGAATATAAATGGTTACCATAACAATTACATTCACCTTGAAATTCTAATAAAAAAAATTTAATCCCTCTCTCATTTTATTAAATGAAACTCACATTCCATACAATGCTTTCCCCTATACCCCAAAAGCCTGTATAGGTCATTTCTTCAATTTTCCTCATATCACATCCAATAAACAGGGAGTCGCTATCCTCGTTAAGAGAAGCATTCCCCACATCACTGTTCCCATCCCCCACTCCGTTATCTCCTCCCTAGCCATAGAAATTCAATCCCCAAACAAAATCTCGTTTATATGTGCTTATTCCCCTCCCGACCAACAATTCTCAACACCCGATTTCCTTAATCTACTATCCCTCAGTTCCGATCCATTTGTATTATTTGGCGACTTTAACGCGTGGAGCCCTCTATGGGGTTCTCCTCATACGAACGTAAAAGGCCGAAGTATTGAAGACGCCATCCTAACTTCAAATTGTATCATCCTCAACGACGGTTCTCCTACACACTTTTCCACTCATTCAACCTTCACCCACATAGACCTCACTCTCTGTTCTCCCTCCCTCTCCACCAAAACTTCCTAGTGTCGTATCGACGACCTCTACTGTAGCGACCACTTCCCTATCCTCTCTAGAATCTCCTCCCCTAGCCCCGCCTCCCACTTCAAAGCCAGAGTTCGCTTCAAAACCGACCAAGCCGACTGGAACCGTTTCAACGAAATTTGTGCAGTCCAATCTACACTCTTTCCCATCTCCTGTAACGTCAGTCAAGAATCCTCACGCATACAAAAAATTATCCGTATAGCAGCAAGCAACTCCATTCCCCAATCCTCTTCCAAACCAGCCGAATTGGCACCACGTTGGTGGAACAGTGAACTCAGTTCACTAAGGCAACAAAAACAGCTTGCTTGGCATGAGTTCAAACGTAACCGTTTAGTGACCAGTTTAGTAAAATATAAAAAGATGAACGCTCTCTTCCGTCGCAAAGCCAAATCTACCAAGATCTGCTTCCAAAAGTTCACTAGCGAAATTAATCCCAATTCTAGTACTAAAAAAATTTGGTCTGACATAAGAGGACTAACGGGCTTACCCTCTTTCTCCCCAATCTCCTTCCTCAAATCCTCCCGTGGCAATCTACTATGTCCCCGTGATATAGCCTCGGAATTTGCTCTTCACTTTTCCAATGTTTCCTCTAACTCAAATTTCCCCCCAGAATTTGCTCACAGCAAACATTCAACCCTTAACACCCCCTATCAACCCCCCTCCAACCTGTCTCCATCGGCCAAGTTCTTAGATTCCGAAATATCCACCCCTGAAATCCTCTTTGCCCTTTACCGTGTTAAGGGCAAAACCCCCGGAGTCGATAAAATATCATACACCATCATTAAACATCTCCCTCCCTCCCTACTATCCCGTCTAACCAACCACTATAACAACATCTACAACACTGGCAACTATCCTTCCCAATGGAAGACTAGCGCTATAATACCTATCTTAAAACCTGGCAAGCCCCCCGGGGAAGTCAGCAGCTACCGTCCTATATCTCTTCTACCTTGCTTAGGCAAATTAATGGAGAAAATCATTACCACGAGACTCTCCTGGTACGCCCAATACCACAATCTTATTCACCCCAACCAATTCGCATTCAAAAAGGGGCAAGGAACATTAGATGCTCTTTTGCATCTCGATCAAGTCGTGTCTGACGCATTATCCCACAAAAATCATGTTACAATACTTTCGTTCGATTTTTTAAAAGCCTTCGATAGAATCGGAAGCCACGTTATTTTAAGGCAACTGAGCAAATGGAAAGTTGGCTCTAAAATATACAAATTCATTAAATCATTCCTCTCCACACGCAAAATGACTGTCCTCATAAGTAACGTCCGTTCCGATATACTTCCTCTTGATAATGGCACCCCTCAAGGGTTCCCTCTCTCCGCCATTCTCTTAACAATTGCATTTAACGAAATAAGCGCTATTTTAGCTGCTTTCCCTCGCATTAACCATAAAATTTATGCCGATGACCTCGTGTTATTCTCAAAAACTTCAAACGTTAGTCATGGCTTCCTTAACTCAAATATTAGCTTTGTTATTTAACTGGTCCAAGTCATCAGGCACGACAATTTCTCCCACTAAATCTAAACTACTACACATTTGTAAAAAACATCACTGTAACACTCCTACTCTTAACTTTAACAATTTAAATTTAGCGTGTACAGATAGTTTTAAGTTCCTAGGATTAATTCTAGACTCTATGTACTCCTTTAAGCCACACTGTCAGTACATAAGAAAAAAACTATTTGTAAACTTAAATATTATCAAATATTTGTCAAGTAAACGCTCCCTCATCGGCCCGGCTCTACTGGCAAACTTAACCAAGTCTATCATCTCATCTATAATTAATTACGGCTTAGAAATATATGGGCATCACTCTAAGAATCACATCAAAATGCTTGTTGCACCTTACCACTCTGCAGTTCGTCGCTCTATTCGCGCATTTCCGACATCTCCACTAAAAAACATTTTGTCGGAATCTGGACTACCTTCTTTAAAGGACAGTGTGGAAGACTGCCTATGTAAACTTTATCCAAAACTTATCATGGGCACCAACATCGTATTGAAACAGGATTTTCTATCAGCATTATCTAAAAAACGTTCGCCAAAGGTACCATCGTCTATCAACAAATGCGCCTTATTTGCGAAAGACAATGCACTACCTAAAAAAATCCATTTCCCTTGGAGAATCAAACACCCACCGTGGAGAGTGAAAGAATCCTCTTTCCTCATCGACATAGTGGAATTACAAAAAACCAATACGCCCAGTTGCGTGTACAACGCCCGCTTCCTTGAAATAACTACCCCCTTCAAATCAGCTCTCCAAAGCATCTTGCACCTCCTTCGCCGCAGTCAGAGAAGATAAAAAAACCTATTTCCCATGGGCTGCTATTTCCATTTTGCTCAATATTCACAGCTGAAGCTACAGCAATTCTAAAAGCTTTTGAATACTCCCAACTAAATAAAGGAAAATACATAATCTGTACGGACAGACTTTCATGCTTTATGGCGGTAAAAACCCCTATTAACGATAACTACATCATAAGTGGAATAAGGGACAAATTAATATCTCTCCCTAACAGACTCAAATTAATGTGGATTCCCAGCCACACAGGCATCAGTGGAAACACCGCTGCGGACGCAACCGCTAAGGAAATGATCCTCACTCCTACCATCACCTCTCCATACTTTACAAGAAGCGACATCTACCGACTAATCAAACATAAAAGAAGCACATTATTATCCCTCGATTGCATCGTCAACATTCATCACCTACTTATCACCTGTCCCGCGCTGGAAAACTCAAGAACAAACCACTTCAACAACGAAGATCCGGTTCAATTATTAAGTGTACCATCAGCAGCAAACATCTCTAAAATTTATAATTTCCTAAAGGAATCCGATCTTCTTCGCCGTATTTAAATAAACCAGTCAGCCGAAAGCCGATGTTGCTAGCGCTGCGTACCATAGTTTCCATAATAAATTTTTGTTATGCAAGCTCTCATAAATAAATAAAATAAATAAAATAAAATACTTTCATTTATGATTTAAAATATGAAGAGATTTTTGTTATTTTACATAATTTGCAAACAATTAATAGGCATAATGTATATATAATTTTTGGCAGGGTTCCTCCTCCATTTTGTGGTTTGCGTCTTGATGATTTTCCAACAATAGAGGGACTTACAATGTATGCTAAGCCGCCTTTGAACGGCTGATACCTTTTTTATGACGATTCTTTATTTCATGTCAGAAATACACCCTCAGGGATTGATATTCCCTGCCAGGGGGCTGCCGCAATTGGAAAATTTAACTTTATATTTTTAAATTTTTTTTCTGTAGGTGTTTGAATGTTAGCATAAGATATGAACCCGAGCCTTCCGAATAGCAGTACCCAATGCTAAACACACGGCTTCCGCGGGCGCCAGATATATATATATGTATGCATATACATTAAAAATAGGAATTTTAGTCACGTTTTCAAGGATACCAATATTTTTGAACTCGGTTTACAACTTTCTAGGATACATGTTGCGTTTCGTAATTTTTGAAAATTCAGTCTTCGTTCCGCTATCTATGAAAATAAAAGTTAGCACCAAACAAATTACTTTTATTTAATTAAAATTCTGAAATCAGAGCGGACTACGATTATTAATTCATTTTGTTCTACCTTAACAGTCTTTATTAAGCACTTATACATAAATTTACACAAGTCCATAGGTCTTAATACCTTTATGATACACACACTAGAAAGTGCCGAGAAACTTATATTTCATAGTTATATATATGACACTCGGTTTAGTAATTAAATTAAACATTTACATACAATGTTTAATTCGCCAATTATAACATTTATTCCTATTATTATAAATTTTTATTTTAATTACCATACAAACTTTTCACCTTAGTATGAAATTAAAGCAACTAGATATGCTGCTAGGCCATCGAAAATCGACATTTTTTCCAAATTCAAATAATCGGACGTTTGCAACAGCGATATAATCGTTTTGCAGGCCTATTCTCACTGTTACCGGTGAAGTACATTTTGTTACTTTTCTTTAACACCCGAAACTGCATTTGGTATTCTGGCGAACTGGTTACAATGTTTGGAAAAAATTTGGCAGCACTGCTTTTTTCGTCCATGTCAAATAACATATGCCAGTTGATAAAGTAAAAACAAAAATTTTTACATCGAAATGAAAGACGGTGCACAAACGACTCTCACGACAGCCGGTTGTTGTTGTTGTAGCGGTTCCCTAGCCCCGCTTAGGCACAGGTTTGATCAGTCTAAGTAGCCGAGGTCATCTAATGGTAGGTCCAGGAAACAAGCAGTTTCGACGGGGTTGGACCAGAGGGTGAGGGGGGTTAGATGAGTTGGTGTAAGAGGGCATGTGAAGAGGTGGTTACTGTCGTGCGGAGACTCTCCACATGCAGGGCATCCGTTGGGTATGCTGGGGTCTATTCTGGATAAGTAGGAGCTAAACATGCTACAGTATCAAGACCTGACTTGTGTCAGGGTCACGCGGGTCTCTCGAGGTAGCTCGAGCTCGTTGTCTGCTATAGGTGGTGGTATTTCTCCGAGTACTCCATTCACTGGAAGGGAGTCCTTGAAGGTGTTGACTGACTCCTGGTGAATGACGTTCAGTGCTTTTCGGTACGCCGTCCTATCCAGCGGTTGTTGTACATAATGTTGGATTGTGTCCTTTAGGTCTAGTACTCCCTTTCTGATGTGCCCAGGTGGAGGTTCAGCTTCTATTAGGTGCCTATTGGGTTGCTTCCAGCGGTAGCATCCCCATAGGAACTGCTTGCACAACAAAGCATTATGCTCCTTAACTCGTAGCATAGATGCTTCCATGTGCAAGTGATGTTCCGGCGACATCAGGAGGTTTCCTGTCGCAGTCCTGAGGGCGGTGTTCTGGCAATCCTGTAACTTCTTCATCTGCGTCTCGTTCGTCCCCAGCGCCCAGATCGGTGTAGCATAGTTTACGACCGGCCGGCCAACTGCTTCATAAGTAGCCAGCAAAGTTTCTCTCTCCTTACCCTAGGTGCTGCCGGCTAGCGCTTTGAGTATTTTGTTGCGGCTCTAGAGCTTCGCGGTAATTGCGGTCATATGCGGAGTGAAGGAGTGCAGGCTGTCTAGGGTTACTCCCAATAAATTTGGGTTATTTACTGTCGGAATTTTTGTGTCATCGACCTTCACATCTAGTTCAAGCCTGTACTCCTTCGTCCAGCTGGTGATAAGGGTAGCCGAGGATTTCGTCGGTTGAATTCGCAGCTGTCTTGCAGTGAAGTAGTGGGAGAGATCAGCGAGGAAGCCGTTCACTTTCGAGCAAAAGTCATCAATATCCTGGTCAGACGCCATTATCGTACAATCATCGGCATATGAGGTTAGGGAAACTCCTTCTGGTGGTGGAGGGAGTATCGAGATGTAAAAGTTAAACAGTAGCGGGTATTAAATTTTTCTGGGTTTATATGTTGCACCTCGGAAAATTACCAATGATTGTCGATCACTCAGGTAGCCCATGACACACCTCTGCAACTCCGGCGATAATGAGGATTCCTTAATGTCCGTTAGTAGCACTGAGTGATTGACTGTGTCAAAAGCTGAAGACAAATTCAGTGCTTCTAGGACAGTTCGTGCGCAGTGTCGGTTGGGGTTCAGGCCATGGACTGCCTGGGTGTTTATGGCGTTAAGTGCTGTGCACTTTTCGGAAGCCATGCTGATGCGCTGCTGGACGCAGATGGTGAGTGAAAGCCGGGGGCAGTAAGACCTCAAGTGTCTCCGCAACTGGAGAAAGGAGATTTATCGGCAGATAGGACTCTCCTCTGTTGGCTGGTTCCCCGGTTTGAGTAGCAGGACCACCTTACCCATTTTCCACACATCGGGTATCTTCAGGGTAGTCAGAGACAAATTGAGGACCCACGTGAGAAATTCTGCTCCCGCAGGTCCTAGGTATTTCAGCATCAACATGCTTATTCCGTCGGGGCCGATGGATTTGGAGGCTTTCGCCTTACCAATGACCCCCTGAACCTCCTCCCTTGAGAAATCAAGCACCACACTGGTGTTTGGCAGTTTGCGCATACGGCGGGTTACACTTCGTTTCGCTTTGTCTACTGAGGGATGCAGTATGAAAAGTTTGCTAAAATAGCTCGCGCATCTCTTCGGGTCCGACGAGGCGCGATCACCGAAAGAAATTTCCACCCGGTCATCACGTCTCGTCGGGTTAGACAGCGACTTGACTGTAGCCCAGAGGTTGGTTGCAGGTCCTTAGGTGCTCCTCACAATTTTTCCGCTTGTGATTGTCTACTACTCTTCGAAAGTCCGCGTTTAAATCCCTGATTAGGGGATTCTCGGGATCGGAGCTTCGGAGGGTATCGCGCCTGGTTGCTAGTACCGCCGCTTCCGTCGGGAAGTTAGGGCGGATTTCCGCAATTCGGCCTGCCGGGATGAAGCGGGCGGCAGCGGTCACGACGACCCTGCGGAATGAGCGTTCACCAGCGGTGACGTCAGTTGGAGTGGGAAGAGCACTAAAGGCGTTCTCGGTAAATTCCGTGAATCCGGGCCAGTTAGCTTTTTTAAAGTTAGCAAATGTCCGGTGGTCAGCCGAAACAAGGTCTAGAGGGCTGTCAATCGAGATTTGTAAGGGCAAGTGGTCCGATGATAATGTCAGTATAGGTCGCCAGACTATACTGTTTATCAGATCAGCAGTCGCAATTGTGGGAGTGTTATCATTCAGTAGTTCTGCCAGCTCCATTCTTCTACGGTCATTTGACAGGCTAGAATGCCAAAGATCATGATGCGCGTTAAAGTCGCCCAAAACCAAACGGTTTTCGCCCCTGAGTAGCGCACCTATATCAGGGGTATGTACTGCTGGGCAACTTGTAACTGAAGGAATGTATATAATGAGTATTTCGAGCTCGACATCGCCGGACCGATAGCTATGCCTTGACATTCTAGGGTAGTATCTCTGCAGTCGATGTCGCTATCGATAAGACGAAACTGCACGGTGTTGTGCAGGATGAACGCTAAGCCCCCACCGTGGTCTCGCTCGCTATGCTTGCGGATTATGTTGCATCCGTCTCCGTCTCTGTCTCTCGACAGCTCGACTCTCACGACAGCGGAAATCCGCCCAAATTTTCTGACAGAAGCGGTGGTTTTAGCATCCAGGCGCGACACTCTCCGAAGCTCCGATCCCGCGAATCCCTTAATCAGGGATTTAAACGCGGAGATTCGAAGAGTAGTCAACAGTCATAAGCGGAAAAAGTGGTAAGCACATCTACGGACCTGCAACCTCTCCTCTAGGGCAACCAATCTCTAGGCTACAGTCAAGTCGCTGTCTAACACGGCGAGACGTGATGACCGTGTAGAAATTTCGTCGGAACCGAAGAGATTCGCGAGCTATTTTAGCAGACTTTTCACACTGCATCCCTCGGTAGACAAATCAAACCGACGTGTAACCTGTCGTATGCGCAAACTGTCAAACACCAGCCCGGTGCTTGATTTCTCCACGGTGGAGGTTCAGGGGGTCATCGGAAAGGCGAAAGCCTCCAAGTCTATCGGCCCCGACGGAATAAGCATGCTGATGCTCAAACACCTAGGACCAGCGGGAGCAGAATTTCTCACGAGGGTCCTTAATATATCTCTGACTACCCCGAAAACACCCGATGTCTAGAAAATGGGCAGGGTGGTCCCGCCACTCAAACCGGGGAAGCCAGCCAACAAAGGAGAGTCCTATCTGCAGATAACTCTCCTCTCCCCAGTGGCGAAGACACTTGAGGCCTTACTGCTCCCGAATTTCACTCACCATCTGCGTCCAGCAGCACATCAGCATGGCTTCCGAAAAGTGCACAGTACCACAACAGCACTAAAAGCCCTAAACACCCAGATAGATCATGGTCCTTATCTACAAAAATTTAGATGTATGGTGTTCAACTGTGTGGTCGTACCAGTGCATCTAATATTGGAGAAATACAGAGGTTTCAGTTCAAAATTTTAAGAGCACTAATGGGCGCACCATGGTACGTTCGTAACGTAAATATTCATAAAGACCTTGGTATTTTACTGGTTAAACCTGAAATTGAAAGAAGCAGGACGAAGAACTCCAGCCTGCAGCGACGAGATGTTCCCGCTTTCGAAGGAGAGCGCCGTAGTTTGAAAAGAGCTCAGAGTTACATAGCTCGAGCCATCATGCTCGTAATTTAGTTTTAAAGATTTGTTCACTTACTGTTAGGCTTATTAATATTAAAGCAGATCCAGTAAATAAATGAATTGTTAAAAAAAAAAAATTCCACCGTCTTGCACGTGTTGCGAGGTAAGCAGTCTGTTTTCTCTCCACTGCGACATGGCCGTCCTCATCGTACCAGCTGTTCTTGCGACCTTTGCGGAATCCAATAGTTTCGTTTATAGCTGTAGTTAAGGAACTTGAAATGCCGCCTTACAGTTCCCGTATAACGAGCTGCTGATAAGTGCTCTAAGAGAGCAGTCTGTTGGGATTGCAGCTTTATGACGTCGTACTTTCCTTGTGGTAACGGGCGTTCTTTGATACACAGAGGCGGGTGCGTATCTTCGACGCAACAAGATAGTGGTCGGAGTGTACGCACGTCAAGAACATTGGAGACATGTCATCCATATATCACAACAAGATCTATCTGGTCTTGTGTTTTTCGATTGAGCGACTGTCACCGCTCAGCCGCAACCCATTTTTGGGGTTTTTTTCGCTGTGAAAGCAGAATTATCCAACAGTCGTACCAAAGCTTCCTTCATTCCCTGCCCCGGCACTAAAATCACAAAGCACGATTTTCACATCGTGGCGGGGACTGCGCTCATAAGTTTGCTCAAGGCGCTCATAAAAGGTATCTTTGGCCAGCACGCCCTTTTCTTCTAAAGGGCGTAGGCGTAAATCAACGACATA